ATCTCACATCCAGGTTACACGGATGCAAGAGGTTGCTTCCCATGATCTTGGGCAACTCCTCCCCTGTGCTTTGCATGGTACAGCCTACCTCCCGGCTGCTTTCACAGGCTGACATTGAGTGTCTGCAGCATTTCCAGGCATACGGTGCAAGCTCTAGGTAGATATACCATTCTGGGTTCTGGAGGACTATGGCCCTCTTCTCACAGCTCCACTAGGTGGTGCCCCAGTATGGACTCTGTGTGGGGGCTTTGACCCCACATTTCCCTTCTGTACTGCCCTTGCAGAGGTTCTCCATGAGAGCTCTACCCCGTAGCAAACTTCTGCCTGGACATCCAGGCATTTCCATGTATCTCTGAAATCTAAGCAGAGGTTCCCAAACCTTTTTCTTGACTTCTGTGTACCTGCAGGCTCAATACCACATGGAAGCTGCCAAGGCTTGGGGCTTGCACCCTCTGAAGCCACAACCTGAGCTGTACCTTGTCCCCTTTTAGCCATGACTAGAGCTGCTGGGGATGCAGAGCACCAAGTCCCTAGGCTGCACATAGCGAGGGGCCACAGGCCCTGCCCATGAAACCACTTTTTCCTCCTTGGCCTCCCAGGGTGTGATGGGAGGGGCTGCCATGAAGACCTCTGACATTCCTGGAGACATTTTCCCCATTGTCTTGGGGATTAACATTCAGCTCCTTGTTTTTTTATGCAAATTTCTGTAGCTGGCTTGAATTTCTCCTCAGGAAATGGGATTTTCTTTTCTATCACAATGTCAGGCTAAAATTTTCCAAACATTTATGCTCTGTTTCCCCTATAAAACTGAATGCCTTTAACAGCACCCAAGTCACCTCTTGAATTCTTTTCTGCTTAGAAATTTCTTCTGCCAGATCATCCTCTGCCTAAATCATCTCTCTCAAGTTCAAAGTTCCACAAATCTCTAGGGTGGGGCGCAATGCTGCCAGTTCCTTTGCTAAAGCAAAGCAAGAGTCACCTTTTCTCAAGTTCCCAACAAGTTCCTCATTTCCATCTGAGACCACCTCAGCCTGGACCTTACTGTTCATATCACTATCAGCATTTTTGTCAAAGTCATTCAACATGTCTCTAGGAAGTTCCAGACTTTCTCACATTTTCCTTTCTTCTGAGCCCTCCAAACTATTCCAACCTCTGCCTATTTCCCAGTTCCAAAGTTGCTTCCACTTTTTCAAGTATCTTTCCAGCAACACCCCACTCCTGGTACCAATTTACTGTATTAGTCCATTTTCACACTGCTGATAATGACATACCCAAGACTGGGCAATTTACAAAAGAAAGAGGTTTACTGGACTTACAGCTCCACATGGCTAGGGAGGCCTCACAATCATGGCAGAAGGCAAGGAGGAGCAAGTCACATCTTATGTGGATGGTAGCAGGCAAAGAGAGAGATTGTGCAGGGAAACTCACGTTTTTAAAACCATCAGATTTCATGAGACCCATTCACTATCATGAGAACAGCACAGGAAAGACCCGCCCCCATAATTCAGTCATCTCCCACCACATCCCTCCCACAACATGTAGGAATTATGGGAGCTACAAGACACGATTTGGCCGGGGACACAGAACCAAATCATATCACCAGTGAATTGTATTTTTATCCACTTCCTCTGTGTTACTTGTTCTGTTGGTTTTCTCAGTCTTCTCTTTCATACTGTCATTTTTCCTCATGTGTCCTCAAATTTTTATTTAATGTGGATGCTACTCATATATCTGCCTGGAACATTACTTGAGTTATTATAATAGCAAGGATGAATTTCCAGTAGCTCAATAGGTCTCTTTTCCTAGTAGACCCCTCCACTGAAGTTAAAAAATTTCTGGTGACCTGATTTGTAACATTCACTATGTTATTAATATAACCATTTTCCAATGCCAAAAATTCTAACATACTAGTTTTATTGGTTGCATAGTTTTTCATCATAGTACTGTTTACTCTTTCTCTTATTATTGGATATTTGATTTTTTCCAACTTTTCATTAAATAACATCAAGAACAGATTTGTACATGTATTTCTTCATGTATCTCTGATAGTTTTCATAATGTTAATTCCTAGAGTGAAATTTATAGGTCATGAAAGACTTCTAATAGACATTGCTAAATTGTCTTTTGAAGATTGTAACAAGTCTCAGTCTCACATAAAAATACCCTTTCCCCCCAACACTCTTGATAATGGCAGATAATAACGTTCTTTTTAATCTCTGCTAACTTAGCAATATACATATTACTATATATATATTGAATATGAATATTTTCCTGTTGAATTTACGTATTTGGGCATTTTCATAAGTTTGTTTCTTTTGTGAATTGACTGTTTATGTCCTTTGCCTGTTTTTCTGTTCACCATTTTGTTCTGCTTTGTCAGACTTTATTTTGGGAATGTTAAGTGTTTGTTATAATTACTGTAAGTTTTTTCTCAGTTTGTGGTTTGCCTTTAACTTTTTTATGTGTCTTTTACTAAATATGTGTTTTGATGCTGTATATGTAAAACCACCCACTCACCTGTCCAGAGATTAAATTTCATCTATGTAGCTTGGTATGTTTATGATTTCTAGTTTTGCATTAAACTTTTCAATCCATGTACATTTATTTTGGAATATGGCTTATATAGGGACACATCTTTGTTTTTTCAGAAATAACTAATTAGCTAGCATCTTTTTCCTTGACTGGTAGTTCATCCTTTCCCCATTAATTTGAAATCTCACCTTTGTCATATACTAAACGTTTTATATAATATGTGTGTGTATCTGCCTAGAAATCTTATGTGCCTGCCCAGGCACATCTTACAATTCTTGATGTTTCTAACAAGACCACTCTGTTACTTTACTGTTTTAGAAAGCACTTAAGTGTAATACTTAATCTACTGTATTAAAACTGTATACAACACCCAGGCATGATGGCTTATGCCTGTAATCTCAGCACTTTGGGAGGCTGAGGTGGGAGGATCATTTTAACCCAGGAGTTTAAGACCAGCCCAGGCAATATAGTGAGACCTTGACTCTACAAAAAATTTAAAAATTAGCTGGGTGTTGTGGCATGCGCCGGTGGTCCCAGATATTCAGGAGTCTGAGGTGGGCACTCGCTTGAGCCTGGGAGGTCAAGTCTTCAGTGAGCTGTTGTCATACCACTGCACTCCAGCCTGGGTGACAGACCAAGATCCTGTCTCAAACAAACAAACAAAAAATTGTATCCAGTGCTAGTGTATTTCTAAAAATCCTGATTTCTAAAAATTAATGACCCCCCAAAATATTTCCCTTATCAGAATGTTCTGTTATCAGCCAAAGATTTCTTTTTGTCAGCTCACAACCTGCCAGAATAAAGGCAACAGTGGTAGACAGGGTGAACCATTGTGATTCTGAAGCATTCTAAGTGGTTTCACAGATATGAAAATTTCATCATCTTGTTTTGTGTTAGGGGAAAAGGAAATATTGGTAAAGTAAACATTGAAAATTGAGGTAAATACCAGTATTTGAACTTTGAAAAAGTAGCCAGAATGTTCCTAAGGTGGCAGCATTTCAGAAATTATACAGTTTCTCAATGCTGCTGGTTACTGGAACAGTTCTAAGGCTCTGCCCATGTCTGGACATCACATTCCATCTTCCTTGTCCTTATAGGGCTTCAGCCACACAGCTGGTTAAGGTACAGTTTGACCATGGATTTCTCAAGAAATGAAAAGTACATTATGGTGCTGTAGGTCAGATGTGAAGTATGTGTCCTATTTTGTGAACTATTGTAGCAAAACTAAATCAATGAAGGGATTTTGCTGAGAAAGTGGTTACCAGCATTCACAGAGCTGGCTACTGGGTGAAAAACCTGAATTCTAAGTTTTGCAGTTAACTGCATGACACTGAGTATTACCTAATGATTCCTTTTGTTTTTTTCAGTTGCTTTTGCATTATATAGGTGTTTTCCCAAATGTGTTCTGGAAGACATTATTGCTGCAAGGTGCTCTGGAAGACGTTTCAGGGACCATAGCTAAATCAGTTAAAGAAAAGCTGTGTACTAGATCCTTCTCTAAGAAATGCATTGGCTGGGCACGGTGGCTCATGCCTGTAATCCCAGCACTTAGGGAGGCCAAGGCAGGCAGATCACTTGAGGTTGGGAGTACAAGATCAGCCTAGGCAAAATGGTGAAACCCCACCTCTACTAAAAATACAAAAAAAAATTAGCCAGGCTTGGTGGCGCACGCCTGTAGTCCCAGTTACTTGGGAGGCTGAGGCTGTAGGATCACTTGAGCCCAGGAGGCAGAGGTTGTAGTGAGCCGAGAGCATGCCACTGCACTCCAGCCTGGGTGATGGGAGTGAAACCCTGTCTCAAAAAAAAAAAAAAAAAAAAAAAGAAATGCACAATATGTAGTCCCATACTAAAGGCTCTAAAAAGTCTTACAGAAAAGAAATTTAAATCTTTTGGGCCTATTTCTTGACATCTGTAGGAACCGTTTCATAAATCCACTTCAGGAAGCTGTATTAGCTGCTGTGCAAGGTATCAAACATCTATAATTCTAGTTCCAGTAAAAAGTTGTATATAAATAAGTTACTTTTTATGTAGTACTTTAATTTGTAATATCAGTATGGAATCTTCTTAAGGAAACACTGAAAAAATCCTTTAATTGTACAAGATCTTTGTACAGTATCATGGATTTTTAAACACAGAAACACAGAGAAGCATTGTTTTATCCTGTGAATACCAAAACTTTGATTTGGAATTATTGGTGAGAAAAAAGCAGGATCAAACATTTCCCTACTTTTTAGGAGTTCTGTGCAATACCTCAAATTCTGTCCAGAATATTCCTACAAAGTACAGTGTGATGTTAGACACTGTTTACATCCAACATGTTTTCTTTTGTTTAATGTAATTTGAGCTATTATTGGCTCAAAATATATAGATTCTTAGTGATCTTTTATATTTATTGTTCATAAAATAATGTTTGGCTTCCTAATAAGAAAGTTAAGAGGAAAATCAAGGTGTTTTCCTCTTGCTTGTAGGATGGGTGCTGCAGACAATATATATAAAGGACGGAGTACATTTATGGAAGAACTGACTGACACAGCAGAAATAATCAGAAAAGCAACATCACAGTCCTTGGTTATCTTGGATGAATTGGGAAGAGGGACGAGCACCCATGATGGAATTGCCATTGCCTATGCTACACTTGAGTATTTCATCAGAGATGTAAGTATCCGGTAAACTGTATTTAAAAAGAAATTAATTTTTAAATTGTTATTTTTAAATGAAAGTTATAATTGTACTATATTTATGGGGTACAGTGTGATGTTTTGAAATATATAAACAATGTGGAGTGATTAAGTAACATATTCTTCACCTCATTTAGATATCATTTTTTGTGGTGAGACATTTGAAATTTATTCTCTTAGTTATTTTGAAATATATATTATTACTGCTGTAGTCATAATACCATTATGCAATCCCTGCATACCCTTGTGTACATGGATGATACATATTATACACATTATTTTCCTGATCTCAGTCTGCAAATACTCAGAATTCTCTTTTTTATAACTGACCGCAGCCCTGCAAATGATCACTAGAATGCTACACACTGAATTCAGACAGATTGACCCTAAATAATATTTGTAGTTTTTTGATACATGTTCCTTTTTCTTGCTGACTCAACATAAATCTGGTTGTATGAAAAAGGCCTCCCTGGCAGTATTTTCACTCAGAATTGTATCTTATTATCCTTGGTGAACCCTAAATCAAGAACAGGTATCATCCATCTACAGCCAAATTCCTCGAGGGACAAACAAGGAAATACTGCCATTTCCACTTTGTGAAATCCTTTTATTTTACCAACATCCTGAAAGATCTGATTGTGAGATCTTTGATCTCATCTCATTGTGTTTCTATATGATTTGGTAACATCATTCCTTCAAAGCATGTCTCCTTTTTTCAGGGTGCATTTCTAAGCTTCAGTGTGAAATTTTGTTTGTGTCAAACTTTCCATCCCTATCATTTCCGTCTAACTGTCCCCTTTAGTTTACTTTCTCTATCTTGTTCATTTTGGTCTCTGCTTTTCAAATCTCTCCCTCATGGAACCTGCCCTTAGGCCTTTCCCTTCTCTGGTCTTTCTTTTCTGTTTTTTCCCCCCATTTTCTTGCTCCTTTGTCATTGTGTCTTCCCTTGTTTTCATTTCTTTCTCTCTTCTATTTAAGGAAGAGATTGGCTATTTAAGCCAATAAAATCATACTTTTAATATTTCTTTTCAAAAAGCAACACAAGGCCGGGCATGGTGGCTCACGCCTGTAATCCCAGCACTTTGGGAGGCCGAGACGGGCGGATCACAAGGTCAGAAGATCGAGACCATCCTGGCTAACACAGTGAAACCCCGTCTCTACTAAAAACACAAAAAAAATAGCCGGGCGTGGTGGCAGGTGCCTGTAGTCCCAGCTACTTGGGAGGCTGAGGCAGGAGAATGACGTGAACCTGGGAGGCATTGCTTGCAGTGAGCCGAGATCGTGCCACTGCACTCCAACCTGGGTGACAGAGCAAGACTCCATCTCAGAAGAAAAAAAAAAAGCAACACAAAAATAAAATTTCTTTTTCTTTAACCTTTTGTTGCCCTTGGTATTTTGGGGTTTAGTTTTGTTTTTAAAGCTTAATTTCCATTTGATTTTTTCCCAGAAGATAGTTTTTTTTCAGTCTTTAGAGACTTAGCTCCATGCATGGGCTTTGATGGAGATCATGGGGCAGCATGCTCACATCTGAATTGGAGTGGAGTTGTTTGGTCCCCTAGGCTTCTTGAGAATGATTCCTGACTACCTTGCTGTGAGTGGCAGAACTTGTGCAGTAATACAGTTTCACACACTCCTTGGGAAGCACAGAGACATCAACAACGCTCAATTTGGAAATGTCCCTGACAGCTGCACCTTCTACCATATTTCAAATGACAAACCTCTTAATGGCCTTGTCCTTAGGTTTGCATCCAACACAGTTTGTGCAGCAAATAGGTTGCACCTAGCTATGGCCCTTTTTGGCACAACCATTGTTGTTGTTCTTCCTCCTTCTCTTCTTTCTCCTCCTCCTCCTCCTTTTTTTTTTTTTTTTTGAAACGGGTTCACTCTGTCACTCAGGCTGCAGTGCAGCGGCATGATCATGGCTTACTGCAGCCTCAAACTATCTGGGCCCAGGTGATCCTTCCACTTCGGCCTCCTGAGTAGCTGGGACTACAGACACACACCAAACCATACCCAGCTAATTTTTGTATTCTTTTAGAGACGGAGTTTCACCATGTTGCCCAAGCTAGTCTTGAACTCTTGGGCTCCAGTGATCCACCTGCCTTGGCTTCCCAAACTTCTGGAATTATAGGCATGAGTTACCGTGCCCAGCCTCCCTTCTTTTCTTTGTTATTTTGGCAGTGAAGACCCAAGAGAGACTCAGGTTTTGTTTAAACATTTATTTAGATTACATAGGTAATTAAGACATTTTGTTTTTTTAAAGGAATTTTTTGTTTTGCTTTAAAAAATTTATTTGCAAAAAGACGTAACTCAGAAACTTTAATCATTTTAGAAACTACATAGGAAAGCAATTGACTTTTGTATATTAACCTTGTATCCTGCAACCTTGCTATAATCACTTACTAATGCCAGTCTGTGTGTATGTCAATTCTTTTGAATTTCCTACATAGGCAGTCATGTCAGCTACAAACAGACAGTTTCGCTTCTTTCTTCCCCATCTATTTTTTTTTTCTTGTCTTACTGCACTAACTAGGACTTTCAGTACAGTGTTGAAAAAGTAGTAAGAAAGGATATCCTTGCCTTGTTTCTGATCTTAGTGGGAAAGCTTTTTAAGTTTCTCACCATTAAGTATGATGTTAGCTAGAGGCTGTTTGTGGCTATTCCTTATCAAATTGAGGAAGTTCTCCTCTATTCCTAGTTTACTGAGAGTTTTTTTAATCATGAATGGGTGTTAGATTTTGTCAAATGCTTTCTGTGCATCTATTGATATGATCATGTGATTTTTCTTCTTTAGCTTGTTGATGTGATGGATGATGTTAACTGGTGTTCAAATGTTGAATGAGTCTTTCACACTTGGGATGAGTCCTACCTGGTTATGGTCTGTTTTTCTTTTTATACATTGGATTCATTTTGCTGATATTTTATTGAGGATTTTTGCATCTATGTTTATGAGATACTGGTTTGTAGTTTTCTTATAATGTCTTTGTCTGGTTTTGGTATTAAGGTAATGCTGGCCTCATAGAATGAGTTAGAAAGTATTTACTCCACTCCTGTCCTCTGAAAAAGACTGTAGAGAATTGGTAAAATATCTTCCTTAAATGTTTGGTGGAGTTCACCAGTGACGCTACTGGGGCCTTTGATTTTTGTTTTGGAAGGCCATTGACTCTAGTTCTTCAATAGATATAGACCTATTCAGATTTTCTGTTTTTTCTTGTGTGAGTTTTGGCTGATTGTGTCAGCCAATTTTAAGGAATTGTTTTTCAAGAAATTTTCACCAAGGTTGCCAAATTTGTGGACATAGAGTTGGTAATAGTATTCCCTTATTACCCTTTTATTTGTCCATGGCATCCGTAGTGTTGTCCTTCTCGTTTCTGATATTAGCCATTTGTATCTTTTCTCTTTTGTTCTTAGTTAGCTTGGCTAGAAGCTTATCAGTTGTCTTTTCAAAAAACCAGCTTTTGGTTCTATTGATTATTTTCCCCATTGCTTTCTTGTTTTAATTTCATTGATTTCTGCTCTAATTTTTATTATCTCTTTTCTTTTGCTTATTTTTGCTCTTCTTTTTCTGGTGTCCTAAGATGGAAGCTTAGATTGTTTATTTTAAATCTTTCTTTTTTAAAATGTGTTCAGTGCTATAAATTTTCTTTTTTCATTCTTTCTTTTCTTTCCATTTTTTCTTCTTTTTTGAGACAGGGTCTTGCTCTGTTACCCAGGCTGGACTGCAGTGGCATGAACACAGCCCACTGCAGCCTCGACTCCCTGGGCTCAAGTGATCTTCCTGCCTCAGCCTCCCACTTAGCTGGACTGCAGGCACATGGCACAACACCCAGCTAATTCTTTTTTTATTTTTTGTAGAGATGGGGGTCTCACTATGTTGCCCAGGCTGGTCGCGTATTCCTGGACTCGAGTGATCCTCTCGCCTTGGCCTCCCAGAGTGCTGGGATTACAGGTGTGAGCCACCACTCCTGGTCCATAAATTTTCTTCTATGCACTGCTTTTGCTGCATTCCACAAATTTTGATAAGGTGTGCTTCCTGTTTGTATTTAGTTTCAAATAATTTAAATTTATCTTCATTTCCTTTTTGACCCATATGTTTTTTAAGAATGTGTTGTTTAGTCTCCATGTATTTGGGGGTTTTCCAGTTACCTTTTTGTTATGATTTCTAGTTTAATTCCATTGTGGTCTGAGATCAAATATTGTATGATTTTTATTATATTAAATTTGTCAACATGTGTTTTATGGCCCAAAGTGTGGTCTTTCTTGGTGAATGTTCCATGTTAGCTTGAGATGAATGTGTTTTCAGCTGTTGGACGAAATATCTATAGATATAAATGATGTCTAGTTGATTGATGGTGTTGTTGAGTTCAGCTATGTCCTTACTGATTTTCTGCTTGCTGAATCTGTCTGTTTCAGATGGAGGAATTTTGATGTCTCTAACTATAGTAGTATGTTCATCTGTTTCTCTTTGTAGTTCTATCAGCTTTTGCCTCATGTAGTTTGATATTCTCTTGTTAGATGCATACATGTTAAGGATATTATGTCTTCTTGCAGAATTTATCCCTTTATCATTATGTAATATCCTTCTTTATCCCTGACAAATTTACATGATCTGAAGTCTGCTGTGTCTCAAATTAATATAGCTACTCCAGCTTTCTTTAGAAATTAATATAGCTGCTTCAGCTTTCTTTAATGTTAACATGATATATCTTCCTCCATACACATATATATATATTTTAGACAGAGTCTCACTCTGTCACCCAGGCTGGAGTGCAGTGGCACAATCTTAGCCCACTGCAACCTCTGCCTCCCAGATTCAAGTGATTCTTGTGCCTCAGCCTCCCGAGTAGCTGGGATTACAAGTGTGTGCCATCACACCTGGCTAATTTTTGTATTATTTTTCAATTAGAGATGGGGTTTCACCATGTTGGCCAGGCTGGTCTTGAACTTCTGGCCTCAAGTTATCCATCTGCCTCGGCC